GAGAGAGTGGGAGAAAAGGGGGGGGGGGGTGGTGTAGAGCCGTCAACATATTTAAAGAGGTCTTGGCCAATGAGAAAGGGCTTCATTTGACGGAGCCATTGAAGGTAATTGTGGTCGTCGAGTTTGAGAAAACTGGTTGTGTTGGGGCCGGCATAGGTAACTAGAGGGGAAGAAGGAGGAGCCATAGGAAAAAGAAAAAGCAGGGAGAAGAGAGGAACGGCTAGGGTTGAAGAAAGAGACTCCTAGACCTACTCTGATACCATGTAGAAAGAATAATTTGTTGTGTATTTCATTCCTTACGTGAATAGTATTTATAATACAATGATAATTACAAGTGTCTTGCACACCAAGACAAATCGTAGTTGACTTTCTATATTTATTAAGATGTTGATGGAGAGATGTTAGGAATTGTGTGAGAGATTTGAGGGAGATAGAGAATCTCACTAACACATGAGTTTACTATTTATAAACTCCAATCGCATAACCCTCATGTCTGCACAGAGAATATGTGAAAATGACAAGCATGAAATCAAATCAAACCCAGTTGGAGAAGATAAGAGAAGGTGTTGTGCCTTGGGGTTTTAGCGTTTGGGTAATTTGTTGGGATGGCTATGGCTTGGGGCAAATTGGATTTGTGAGGTTGGGTGTCGATTTAGGGTGTCAGCTCGGGGTGAGTATGGCTGGGGGTTGAAAGTGGCTAGGTGGGTTGGGATTGATTGTTATTAATGGTTTGGGGTGGGTGCATCACCTGGGTGGGGATATCATATTTGAACAATGGCGGAGTGGTGGCCATAGGTTGGGGGCCGCGGTGGGGAAGGGTTGGGTTGTTGTGGTGGTGGGGCTATTCGGATGCTAAGGGCTTTAATGGTTTTTTTTTTTTTAAAGAACTTTCTAAAATATCTAAAATCCTCATGTCACGTAAGCAAGTTAACAGTTTTACTGACCAAACTAATAGAAAGGGGTAACGGAGGACACAAAAATAAAGCACAAGGGGCATATTGACTCAGTTTGAAGTGTTGGGGGCAAAGTGAGATTTTCTGTGAAGCACAGGGGGCACATCAATAATTAAGCCTGTCAAGAATGACACCAAATCTGCAACGGGTAAATTGATGTTAATCCTTAAAAAAAATGCATTTATGAATTGTCAAGCATGATTTCCAAATACAGCACGCCTCATAATAAAATTACAACCATAAGCAATCTAATGGAGCGCAACGATAAAACCAACCAAACCACAAAGCATCCCCAGACCAAAACGAACCACATTTCGCAAAGAATCATGACCACAAAATCCAATGCCTGCTAAGACTTTGTACCACCGGAAAATCCAAGTTCTTGAACAAAACCACCAAGTAGAAAACAGGGATAGGGGGGACTTAAAAGCAAACCAACGCAATCTTCCAACAACAAGGTAGTTGGAACTTTAAGCAAGACCAAGGCTAATAATAAGCATCCCGATAGACAGAAAGGGGAAAGCCAATGCCAATTGAAACTTGGTGCCAATGGAAAATCCTTGTTATCAAATAAAACTATCAAAGTACAACAAGGGTTGGGGAACCCAAAAGCAAACCAATGCAATCTTCTTACAACAAGGCATTTGGAACTTTAAGCGAGACGGACGTCTGTAGCACGTAATAAACTTGAAGAATTCAAATATTTTGTACAACATACACTAAACAAACACTTGTATAGTCTAGAAATCATTACTTGCTTAGTAGACAAATATTCAGGATGCGTTCAATTAATCCTAGCCAATGCAATATAGGCATTTTCCTTATTCTAGTTTCTAAATAAGCTCAAGTTGAAATTAAGCCAAATGCCCAAGAAAGTAAGCAAGCATTCTTCTTTGGAAATTAAAACCGACCAGAAGCAGCTAGTGACATGGTAGAACGCCACAAACATCAAACAAAGCTTCTTTTAGTCTATTGTTTGGAGATCACCAAGGAAATTTTCATAAAACGACTTTATTATAAGATCTCAATTGAAACCACAGAAACCCAATCTAAATTCATATAGCATGCCTTAATTTCATAAAGTACAGAATTTATGACCAGGAAAAATACTTCAACAACACAACAATGACCATAAAGAAGATATATTAACTTATTATGCGAAACACGGACATATATTATGCAATACTTATTAAAACATTAAATTATTATGCGAAACACGAACATATATTATGTAATGCTTCATATAGTAAATGAAGACTACCAGACACTCAAGTCCCCAAGTCCCACACCTTGGATTAATCATCATATCTTATCAACTTTCTCTGCCTTAACGACAGGGTTTGCGGGTTCAATTGCATCTTGGCTTGCACTCTTATAATCGAACACGCAGTTGTGCTTGTTGGAGTAACGATGCAGTGAGCAAAATGTCTGCCCACACCTACACTTAAAACCAGTAAGACCAACCCACTTCCTACAAAAGTTGCACCTATTTGCAAGTCGCTTCTCAAGGTTCTCGGAAGTGGTCCCTTCTTCAACTTGAATCTGTTTTACTTCCTCCAGTACTTGTTGAACATGGCGTTTATTCTCCAAATTATTTTAATAGAAAATCTTTGTAGCACTCGAAGCAAAGTTTATTAGTCTTTTCACTTCCCAAAAACCCGCAATTATTCAAACACATAATCAGAGCATTGGAGGCCTCATTGCTAGTCTCATCAAGCTTCCTCTTCTATGATTCTTGCTCCATTATTGTTCAAAAATAATACAACCCACAACCTTCAAACCCCAAAATTCAATAAACAGAACCTAATACTTAAACCAGCCCAAAAAACTAAAACTTGAATTTATCCAAGTTTACAAATTACTCATAACCCCTAACTTTCCCTGAAATTCAGATGAAATCAGAAGCAAAATTCAGATCATAGGTTACCAAGTGATTGGCTATAACATCTAGGGAAAAAAAATTAATTAAATTTTAATAATAATATATTTATTTAACCTTAATTATGAGTTTAAAAATAAATAAATAAATAAGGCAACGTGTAAGCAAAACCTTCATTCTTCCCTCCTTCCCTTATACATTTTCTTAAAAAATTTGATCTTGATCTAAAATTGGAATGAGTTGTTCATCTATTGGAGGTGAATCACCTAGTCAAGATAAGATTGGAGGATGAAGGAGATGGAATTTGGGTGAGGAAGAGAAGGGAGAATAGGAGGAAGAGAAGAAAAAATCTCTTAGGTGAGTCAATTTCGAAAATTTTGGTTTTAACTTTGTGATTGTGTGATTTTAGTCCCTTAAAGAGTAATTTGAGTCACATGAGTGTATTGAATTGGATGAGTTTGAACTTCTATTTTCGGGTTGGGTGGATAGAGCAATTTTTTCAAGTGTGGGTTTTGTTAATTTTGGTTCCATTTTGAGTTTTTGATGAGATCGATTGATAGGTATGAAGTTTAGAAGAGTTTTAGAAGCCTTAGGAACATCTTGGGGGTGTTAGAATGGTTGAAAACAACTTAGAACCAAATCTAGAAAATGCCGTTTTTTGGACATTTTTAGCCTGCAAGCCTCACACTGGCTCTCGTTTTCTCCCAATACTTTGAGTGTTTGAGGAATTCATTTGTTGGTTTTAAGCTAGACATCGCAAGGAACAAAAACAAATTGGTTTCGTCGAATTTGGTTGAGTTTTGATACGTCAAACACATGTGCAAAGTTTGGAAGAAAAAAAACAAATATGTTTTCAGCAGAAAACCAGCCACTAGCCCAATTTTGGAGCTAGTTTTCTC